GTTAAGTGCTCAGCTGCTCACTTACAGGGAATTTGTCACCAGTAATGGCTAAGGCTTTTGAGTAATTTTTATTTACTTTTAAACCTATAAAGAAAGCAACTTCAAGGCAATCCAATAAGACTATGCTTACATTTGAAACTGTTTCTTGAGTGGAAAAGAGAGTTGTAGAGATAAGGCTAGAAGTTAACATAATATCAATACTCCCTAGTCTAGCTAGGCCTTCAGGAAAGAATGTGTTACGCTGCAGAAGAAAAGAGTGAAGACCAAGCTTTAGATTTCTAATCCAGTTCCTTACATCGTTCTTAAAGAAGAGACTGTAAGGTAACATTCTTGGAGCAAAGTGCCTCAATGGTGCATTTACCTACATGTAGACTGCAAAGCCATCTGAACTGCAAGGTCGGCAGTTCAAGCTCACCAGCTGCTCCTCGAAAACCCTATACAGGGTCGCTATGGGTAAGAACCGACTCGATAGCACTTCACAACAACAACCACAGAAAAGCAAAATCCAACTATTTCTGGTCATCTACATCAGCACTTTTAGGGAGACAGAGGATGATCACTTGCTTTCTGATACTTAGCTTTCAGCTTGTACCTTCTAATAACTTTTCCAAAGGAAAGTTATCATGAAGGTAGGAAGTGGAAAGGTGACTCCTCTTAGAAATGATCCCACCTTGTCTAAAACCACTACTTTGAGATTAAGAATTGGTATAAGAACATACGCTGATGAGCTGTGGTGCAGTCAACACTGGCATGGCACTGAGACTCAGCTGTTTCTCTGTTAGTAACTGTTCAGGTAGGGTTTCCTGGTGTAGCAGAAAGCGCTCTTGTTCAGCCATTTCTAGGATTCAGAAGGAGAAAGAGAGAATATAAACATGAATGAATGAGAGTAACTTAACTTTCACCTTTGACTGTTGTAAAACAAATCTGAATTTTATAAAGGAAAAGGATCTCCAAAGGTAATCTACTGCTGTTCAATGAGCTTAGAAGATTACTCGTTCTGCTTATTCATACATAACTAGGCTGACAACATATTCATGCTTTGATTCAATTCATAGGAATTTATCACAACTACTAAAACAGGGACAGAACAGTTAAGAAAATGCGTTCTACTGACTGAAGAAGTTGCAGTGAAGACACCTGTTTCATGACTTACAAGCCCTCCAAATGCGGGATATCGCAGTTCTATGTATTTGATTATCCCATCAGTGTTTACAGTGTTGTTTCATTCACAAAAGAATAATGATTGATGATCGTATCACAGGGAAAACAAAAACAGAAGAATATGTACCAACCCTATTAACTAGGAGTGCTTATCTCTAGGAAATGAGATGACAGGGCTTCTCCTTCCCACATCAAGTACTGCCATCAGCTATCCAAGCTGCAGCCCGCTGACTGGCTGTACACATAACACTGTGTGGAGCCAGAGGAGACCAACTGTTGAGAATTAGTACAGAGCCTCATGATCACAGACGTTAAAGCAAAACAGAC